CTTTTGACAATCATTTGCAGACTACAGGAGAGCCAAGCATGCCACTGAAGAACTGTCTCTGTGTGCTTCCCAGGGAACAAGACCTCCTCAGATTTCCTCAGTCGTGGTGTCAATTTACTCCAGGATTTTTTCTAAAACTTGAGTTCTATCCACTTGTTTTGACTAAATGTGTTACTTTAGAAACAGGATACTCAGGAAAAAGGGAAGTTTGTGTGAATATATTCCCTAGATACAGAGTTTAAGGTGTGTGCATGTAAGCATGATGCTACACAGACTGCATTTCATGAGGACATGTAGGTTGACTGAACTGTTAGTTCTACCTTTTTATTTTCAGCAAATTAGCTTTGCATAATGGAGAAAACATTTCTTCTTTCATGTGAAAGTCAAGAACGATACTGCATCATAGCATTACTTTTTAAAAAGTTCAGCAGATAAAAATGTTTTCTTTATTAGGGGGCAGGGATGGTATAAGGAAGCAGAAAAGGCAGTGTTAATATCTGCTCTTCAGTTGTATCATGTGAGTGTTTGGAAATGCTGAGATGGGTTGGTGTGAGGTGGGCACTGGTTTCCTGAAGGGGTGCTTGGTGGCCGTCAGCATCCTGCAGACCCCACGTAGGCACCTGGGCTCTCAGGCCTGAGTGAGCAGTAGGTACCACTTCCCCGGGCACTGCTGATGCTCAGTATGGTCTTGGCTTCAGGGAGGGGTAAGTGTAAACCTGAGACTTCACTCTCATCCCTGCAGGCACCTAATTGCTGGGTGAGTCGGACGTGTTGGCCTGTGCGGGGTTTCTGCCCACCTTGCATAATGTGTATTTAGTGGCATCACAGAAAATGAAACTTGGATTCTGGGAACTGAGGGCCTTTTATTCTTGGTCAGCTTGCTTAGAACCTGCTCAGAAAAGTCCTGTAAGGAAGGGGCACGATTTCCAGGCCCTGCAAAAATGAAATGGAAGTTACTTTTACAGTAACAAACTCCCAGCTGTGTTCTGTCACTGCTGGGCTGTTTAATCACAAAGGAGGTGCTAGTGTCATGTCCTCATCCTCAGGCAGAAGAGAGCATGTATGTGTGTGTGCACACTGCTTTCTTAGCTCATTCCCTTTGAAGTGCTTGCCTTAGAGCAAGTCAGAGTTAAAAGATGACTTTTATTTTTGTTAATGAAAATATTGTGGAGGTGCAGAAAAACTCCTTAGCTTTTGAAACCTTGTTTATACAAACTTTTTGATAAATTGCTTAGCGTGGTGTCTTCAATTTCCAAGACCTGTTGGAGGTATGAGGGAATTTGGAGCAAAAGGAGAGTTTTTTAAGAGGTTACACCAGTTAGCATCGGTGTTGTGCCTGTGAGATGCCTTCTCCAGGCACGTGCTGATGCTGCATGAACCAGAATGTGGTGTGGAGTCTTTTATTTCTCTGCATGGGGAGTTACACAGTGCAGAATGGAGCTGTGTCACTTAGAAACACTGATGGCATCAGCTGTTTCCTGAGAACTCCTGTGCTCTTCAGGAAGTGTTGCTTCATCAGCTCACCAAATGGCCACTTTTTATTGTGATGCTTTGTTCAGGGGTGGGGGACAAACATGGGACAAATGCAGAAGTTTGTACCAGCTTCTAGGCTAAGGGTGAGGTTGTCACCGCTCCTGAGAAGGGTCCCAGACCACGGTGGTGGCCCCCAGGGAACCGCATCCCCCAGAAGAGGGTAGTCCTGAGGCTCCCCCTGCCCCGGCTGTCAGCACGAGTGCAATCAATCATCTTTCTTCCTTTGTATACGAACCCCCAGGTGAGCTGTGCATTATAAATCATTGCAGTGCAGGTTTCCAGCTTTCATTGTGACTGTTTGATGAGAACTAATGCCATCATCTCTAGCACAAGATCTGGATCTCGCATTTCCACTTCCTGAGTGCTGCTGAGTAGTAGGGCCTTGTTTCATGCAGCTCTGGATTAATTTTGAATTACGTTCTGCACAGTCACTTGTAGAAGTCAGGTGTGCAAAATGTAGTGGATCCTCGGGCCAGATTCTTCAGGGCTTATAGAGGGCAACCACGCTGGTGCCAGGGCTTTGTACTTGCGCCTTGAATAGTGTGTCCAGTGTTGGGCCCCTGACTCCCAGAAGGACATGGAGGTGCTGGAGCGTGTCCAGAGAAGGGAACGGAGCTGGGGAAGGGTCTGGAGCACAAGTGTGCTGAGTTCCTGGCTGAGGGAACTGGGGGTGTTGAGCCTGGAGAAAAGGAGGCTGAGGGGAGACCTTCTGGTTCTGTCCAAGTCCCTTGGAGGAGGGTGGAGAGAGGTGGGGGTGGGTCTGTTCAACCAAGGCCCAAGGGACAGGACAAGAGGAAATGGGCTCCAGTTGTGGCCAGGGCAGTTGGGATTGGATGTCAGGAGCTACTTCACTGAAAAGGTTCCTTCACTGACTCCCCATCCCTGGAGGGATTTAACAGAGGGGCAGATGAGGTGCTCAGAGATGGTTTAGTATTGGACAGGTACAGTTTGACTTGATGATCTCAGAGGTTTATTAAATAATGTATGTTATTAATAATATGCTTTACCATTGGGTCAGCCCTGAAGTGACTGGACTAGATAATCATTGTAGGCCCCTGGCAGCTCCACTCTAGAAAGCAAAGATAGTTGAGAAGCCTCCTCCTCCTTGTTTTCCTGTCTCCCTCTCCCCATGCAGTCTTAACCAAGAGCTGAGATGCTCTCCTGCATTTTATTCTGCTGCTCCAACTTTGTGGGCATAGGTGTGAGCTGACACAGCAGATGGATGAAGCAGGACACAGGATGGTGCTGTTTATCTTTACAGCACAGAAAATGTAAAATGTACTGTCTTTGACAAGAGTGACGTTACCAACGTGCAGTGTAACAGCATTTCATAAAGGAACACTGAAGCTTTTCTTAGTAAGGATTTAAAAGTATTTTATTGATTGTTGTCCTATAAAATCATAGAAGTCTTTAATTCCTGAAGAACTGTGTCTAACAATAGGAAAAATTAAAAATGTCTTTAAAAAACATTACAGCATTTTTTGGAAAAACTAGGTATGAAAAATATATACAAAGTATTAAAAAAAATCTGAATAAAATTAATGTCTGGATTTATACATTCAGTTATGTGTTAAACACCTGCCTGTGTGCAATAAAATTTGTTAAAGTATTAGCAGTATTTTTATTATTTTAAATAAGTCTCTGTTCAATTTACAGTTTCTCATGACTATTTTATCAGTCCACTTATAAATTAATTTACAAGGCTGTAACCATCATCAGACTGTCAAGGTAAGTCTTTTTGTACAAAAAAAATTGCCTTCCTCATGTATTTAAAATTGTTACAGAGATTTATAAACCAAATTAATTCACAAATCAAATGAACATATTACAGTCTATAGAACAACACACAGCCCCTTTCAAACAGCCAGGGAACACAAGAAGCAGAAGGGCTTTGTACTACAAGGTTGTCCCTGGTTTTTACTGAACATGAATTCTACCCTGCTGAGGTATCAGCTGGTCCTTAGAAAGTGAAGGCGTTGATAGTACAACCTGTCACACCTATATACAGAAACCAGGCACTGAAACATACTTCATTTTGAGTGCATTTTGTCACACAACATTAAGTGGTTGGGTTTTTTTCTGTGAAATTCCAAAGCTAAACTGCAGATACAAAAATGTAGCAGGTGTTGTGTGTAGTGCAATTGTGAGAAGCCTTCTCCCAAGCAGAGAAGGGCATGTGTGAAGCAGCACCTGTGTGAGCTCCTCTGAAAGCAAGGGCCAGCACTAGCTTCTCTCTTGTTCTGCCTCCCTCCCTCCTTACCTCTCACCTTAACTCTCCAGTGACATCCTGTCACTCTGCAGCAGGGAAGGCAGAGATAACAAATCCCAGGTGCTGAGCTATCGACTTCCAAGTCTTTCCTCAGTGGTGGTCTTACCATTTATAAATATACAATAGAGATGACAAGACCTGGCCCCTCAACAAAACGTTACAGCTCTTACTTCTCCCTCTTTTTTTTGCCTGTGGATCCAGCACAATGTTAGCAAATGCTAAAGATGTAGGTAAACTGAAGTTCAGTTGAACTTTTTGCCTCCACAGAAGGAAATAATCAATCTCCTCCAGTACAGAAGAGCAGAAAGACTAAAATATTTAAAAACTCTAAACAACCCCCCAAACCCAGAACAGAGTAGTGAATGTTTTCTGCAGTCCCATCACAACCCTGGCTCTGAAGCAGTAACAATACAGAGACCTAGTTAAAGATGGGGAGAACTGAACTAAAGGGACACATTTCCAGCAGTTAAAACACCTGTGCTGAAATGGATCTGAGAACGAGATAATCACCACGCCATGTTTTGCAGAGTTTGGTGCTTCTTTCTTGCTTTCAGAAATCCTGTCACTGCTGCAGCACTAGAAGGAGAAAAGGTCTGAGCTGCCTGATGAGTATTAGAGCCCACCACCATGGGAGGCCCTTACTTCTCTGGGTTCTTCCCTGGCCTGGTGCTGGAAGGGCAGTCCCTTGTAACTTACAGGGTTGGTTATTCTCCTTCAGGTCACACACACATTCTGACACAACTGGGACGTGCCCATTAACAGATTCTCTGGTACTGGGAGATGTAACCCTGCAGTTCCTTAGGAGCAGGAGACCCCCATAGTGCTATTTACTTCCAGCTCAGTGGGGTTCAGGCTCCTACACAGAATTCTGCTCCCAAGAGAAAGTCAACAGATGGAGAAAGACAAGACAAAGAGGCAGGGATGGAGGAACTGAAGTTGAGTTGAGGAGATGCATGGCTGCTCTCCAGTGCCTAAGACACTACTTCTAGTTGAAATCTGCTACTAGTCAAGCCAGGTTTCAGGTCAGAGCTCTCAGCACACAACAAGGGATGAACGTCCCACACCTCAGTGCTCTGTTACCAGATTTTCTGCATTAGTGACCCACATCTTCCATGCAGGAGCTGCGGGGCCGCAGCCACGCCCCGCTGACAGCAGTTAGTGCAGATCCCGTGGTGTGGGATGGTGAAGCAGGAACAGTCTAGACGTTGGTTTCCAGTCCAAGCAAGCGTCCCATCCGTTCCATGTTCTTGTCAATCGTGGCACGACACGTGATTTCCTTGGCACACTCCATGGGGAACCAGCCTCTTTCACCGTCCCGCAGTCGTTCCCCTTCGTACCAACCTGCAGGGGGGAGAGACAGGGACTAACAAACCTTTTCCAGTAACACTGAAGATCGATGCTGTCAGAACTGAGCAGACACAGCTGACATCATCACATACCTTTATTTACCACAGAGGTACACGTGCCATGTACCAGATTAAGATAGGGGCAGCAGATTTATTTTTTTTTTTAAATACAGGCACACTAGGAACAAAATAGGATGTGAAGACAAGTATTACACGAAACAAGTATAAGACATTTTTTATATTCTAGTTCAACTCTATTGTTTGAAATAATGCAAAGAATATCACTTCAATCTAAAGAAAATAACGCAGTGTGATTGGAGTGTCTCTGATTTCATGTGTAACATGAACTAACATCATTAAGTCAGGATTCAGTACTTCAGGCGCTGACAGCTTCAAGGCTGAGCCAGCACATCATGAGATACTGGTACGATCGCCTGCATGGCCAGGCAAGAATCTGTTTTGATCTCTGGGTTCTTGGTGCTCTGGAAAACTGAAGCAAAACCCCTGTGCCAGAGCCCTGTGCCTACCAGGCAGCGCAGCCCCGGGCAGGACACAGTTACTAAGGTGCCTCTTTCTCTCACTCACACTACAAGGTCTGAGCTCTGTGGTTTTAGGGAGATTTCAGTTTCTTACTTGTGGATGTTTAATGTGTCCAAACCAACCAGCACACACTGCAGCTCTGTGTAAGTCCTGCCAGGCACCGAGTTACTGTGGACATCTGCTGCCTAAACACAGGCTGCCCTTCAGACACCTGACCTGAAACACATTTTCCTTGGATGCCAAACCTTTGTTCATTAGATGCCCAGTGCTGTTAGGAAACAAGTTTTTGTGGCCGGAGGCAGCTGCAGTGGTGACTGATGGTTACTAACAGCAAAATTCTCACTCACCGTCATTCACTTTCTGATAAACCAGGACAACATCAGCAACTTGAAGAGACAGTTCATCTGACTGCTTTGCTGTGTAAGTTCTGATGATCTCCACCTGAGTCAAAGCTGTGGAAGAAACAAGCCAGGCTGAGTTAAACAATTCACATCACACGGTATCTTTTATTAAAATATAGACAATTTATTTGTAAATTTTCCATCTTGTACTCCCCCAAAAAAACCCAAAGGAGGCAGCAAATGCTGTAAATGGCTTCCTACCTGAGCAGCTGCACGCAAACAAATTCGGGGTGAACACACAGGGGAAGGGGCTCTGCTAACGGATTGGAACCATGGAGCAAACCCGTGGTAATGAACAGGCTCCTCCAGGGAGCCCTGGGCACGAGGAGATGGCAGCAGCGCCCAGGAGAGAACCGGGCACGAGCTCTAGGGGTGTCACAGGCCCTCTCCTGTCAGAGTCAGAAATCCCATGGGTTGTAACTTACTTGTCCTGTCCGTTTTCTGCCCGTCTCTGTCCTGGCCGAGCGCTGTAATCCAGCGAGCTCTGTCGCTCCTGCCAACCGCAAAGACAACAGTCCATTTCCCAGCTCGTGCTCTGGAGAATTCTCAAGCCTACTCCCCTTTTCAAAAGTCTGTTCAAATTTTTCCTCTTACTGGGCAAAGAAAACAAAACAAAACCTCCTTCTTCCTCCTCTCAAAATATGGACAGAAGGTGTGACAGTCCTTCTAGCAATACATTAGTCAAACATGTTTAACCATTTTAAGCGTGTTGGATTAGGAAAAAAGCCGCTATACATACATGGGAGCTACTGGCATGGTGTCTATTTACCTTTATTTTAATTGGTTTTAAGCAATGCAGGTGAACTTCTCTGCTTGTGTCTGTGACCAATACCTATTAGTAATCTCATTAAAAAAACAATAAATCTGCTAATGTAGAAAGCCTCTGATAAATGCCATACAGCAGTGTAACATGCAGTAGAATTCCTGTGAGGCAGAACTATCTGCAACACAAACCTACAATGAAAATCATTAAAAACCCCACACCTGTGATTGTTTTTTAAACTCCCAACACACATTCTTCCTCAGAGGTGAAACTATTGCACATGTCCTGACCTTTGATACCTGCTGATCAAATGGCCAAAACTGCAAGTACAAGACATGGTTCTTCGCCATTTCAGTCACTAAAGGGCGATGGTGCCAAACGTGTGTACAGACTTTCTGATTTTGGTTGGAAGACAATTTTGCATGAGCTTAACTTTGTGGCTTTAATTATTTTTTTTTTTTAGAAACAGGTGTAGTTTAGACTCATGTTTTCTTTTCCCTGTGACCATTCTTAACAGGAAAACTACGTTTCCTTTCAGACAGCTCTGAGAAACCTGGGCTAATGACAGACTGTCCCGCAGTTCCAGTGTATAGCTTTGTAATCTGTGTACGCTGTACATTTTGCTCGTCATTCACATTATCACAGGGCAATGTAAAGTTCCCGAGCTACCGCTGGTGGCTCTTGTACTTGGAAACCACACGGCACATGAGGTGACAAAACATGATCAGACCGCGCTAGGGAAAACATTTCAGCTTTACACCTGCAAAATTCTCCTCAGTAAGCACTCAAACCAGCCAGCGCGGCTTTCCTCCCGCAGATCCCCTCCCTCCTTCTCAGAGTTAAGAGGAAGGTCAGTTTTTCTGTACCCTGTGTACACAGGATAAAACTCTACAAAAGCAGGTGATTTCCAAATAATTTAATTTTCAGAATTTTTCCCTGAGTGACAATCTGCTGGACTGCTATTTATATTACAGACAGTATAGAGCCAACCAATGATGAATCTGCAGAACAAAATGTCTTTTCTGAAAAAGGCCAGACAACTAAAAATGTGCTTCATTTTTTCCCAATAAAAATGCATCGCAAACAAGTCTGAATCATCTTCTTTCTTTATAACGAGATCTCTACTAACGCTCTGTAGCTTCTTTCAGCGTTATTCTGAACTTTGAAAGCAAACCTAACACTGGGTGTTTCCAGGCTGGGCTGTGTCCGGCGCGCTCCGTTTCATGTCCTGCACCCCGCCGCCAGCTTCCACTGACACAGATAAAATCTTTCCCTGTGTGAGGGGCTGTGTGGAAGTTAATGGCTCCACAGAGACACGATGGCCTCTCCAGAAGAACAAGACTCTTCTTGTTGCCTTTCTGAAGCAGAACACTCTTCAGGAGAACAAGGACCACCTCTATCCCAGCACAGCTCCGCAGCTTCCCCAGGGCAACACCAGACTCCTCCCATTTCATCCATACTGGTTCCACTTCTGCACTGTCCAGCGTTACAATAAATAACTCTGGGGTCAGCGCCCCAGGACAGGAGCGTTCTGCATTCACACCCCAGCGCTCACCTGCTGCCACCCCTGTGCCTGAGGACGCGCCTCTGCCTCCCAGCGATGACTCGGGTACTCCAGTGGCATCTGGAGTTCAAATTAAACACCAGGAAACTTCCCTATCGCGGTGTGTAATCGCTGCAGTGTGTGTGTGTTGCTTAACAGCTCTGTTATGCAGCACAACTTTGATTTTTTTTATTTTTTAATTTTTTTTTTACTGTGGTATCACTTAAATTGAAAATAAATTTAATGGAAATTCCTTCCACAACCCCCCTAAGCCCCAAGAAATCCAAACTGCTGTAATCTCTGTGCTGCAGCCCTGGCTTGTTTGCCTCACAGTAACAACCAGAGGGACAGGGTAACCCCGGACGAGGAGCTGGCCATCTCCATGGCAGAGGCATGGTCAGTTCCTGCCCTGAAGACCCCCCACAGCAGCAGCTGGTGAGGGACACTTCAGTTTACACAATCCCAGCACATGCATTCCAGTTCCCATTATCCCTACACTGACCTCAAGGAAAGAGCGACACTGACACACCGTGCACTTAGAACCGAGTCCTCTCATGACAAGATGACATCAGAGAAACTGAACGAGGCTCGCAGAGGCTTCACTTTATCCCAACGCTGTTGATTCCATTCTCTAGCAGGACATGAGATGAGCTGCACATTCTCCTGCTCTGCCACTTATTTAAATAAATAAATAGATAGATCTCTACTTACTGAGTGTCCGTTCCCAGGAGCATCTCCACCCTCTCTCCCGCGTGGTTGCTGAGGACGGCGAGCCTGAAGAGGTGAGTGGCAGAGCTCTGCCGCGAGTACAGCACAGCTGAGGTGTTCTTTACAGGAGAAGAAGTGGGGTCCTCACTGTCACACTGCTGTACCACCAGCTGGTCCCTCAAAGAGTAATCCGTGACGTTGTAACTCTCTTCGCTGCAGAACAAAGGAGGGAAGAACAAACCCCCAGGTTTCATGTTTAGTTTGCCATTAAGTATGTCTGGAAGCAAACTGGCTCAAATCCACTTGTAACTACACAGTTCAGCACAACTCTGACACCTCAGATCTTCATCTTTTCTGTTTATTTGTTTCTGAAACCATCTGTTTTCCAAGAGAGAAAGCAGATCAGTTTTTAAAGCCTGGGGAACTTCATTTAGTGGTGCAGTTCAGTGCCTTTGGCATCCCTACGAGTTAGACTGATCACATAGAAGGACTGAAATCACTGTAGCTTGTAAGAAGATGAACCATTTCCTTCCCCATTTCTTTTTCTCCCGAGTCTCAAATGGTACCAACAATTCCCCACAAGCTGCTGGTGGTTTCCACTCAGGGCTGGAACCACAGCTGGCCATTCAGGTACCACTGACAGAGGCACAAACACACCAAAACTTCAGGAGCGCTGCTGCGAGAACTTAAAATGGTTTAAAAGTTCTCCAGGCAGTTCTGGTTAACCCAGCCTTTCATCACACTGCTGTTTCCACGTCCCTTAAAGTCAGAAAATTCAAAAATAAATCACACAGGAAACGAGCTGGAAACAGCAAACTCGGAGCTCTGTAAAAATGCAGGCAGGTTAATTGCGCTGTTACACGGGACTTCGTGGGTCCCCAGACAAAGAGTACAGATTGCAAACGGGTTCTGGTCTAATTAAAGGGATTTAACACCAGCACATTGAGAAGCTGGGAGAACCTTCAATAGTTCAGCCTGTAGAAAGCCAAGTTTTCATTTCCACACATACAAGGCAGGGATCAGGAATCTTAATCCAAACGTTATTCTCTCTGTCCTCAGCTTTTGGGAAAGGTCTGCACTGAAACAGAACAAATCTACCGCGACTGTCCGGCTGTAGGAAAGCGTCACGGGTGTCGGAGGGGCTACGAGAGGGGAGGGGGCAGAGGCTGGGGGTTTAGGTTTCACGTTCCCCTAAATCCAGCTCTAGATTCAAATTAATTTGTTTATCTACAAAAAGATGCTACTTTTGATTTCAGGACAATTGTATCTTGTGCCGTCCACAGCAGCTGAGGGGTCCTACTGAAGAATAAAAAATTTATATCTAATATTTATCAGTCTCTTTCTCATCTTCCTTTTTTCTTAAAATATATCCTCTGCACCAGGGAAAGGCCGG